CCAGGCTGCTTGGAGCGTGGCAGCACCAGGAGCTCTGGTCCATGGCCCGGGTGTGTCAGGCACTGTCTGGGGTGGCATGGCTGGGATTTGCTGGTAGGTGGGACAGGGCTGCACCTCACCAGGCAATCCTCTGCCTCCTCTGGTGGCATCTGCCTGTGCTTGGGGGAAGGTGGTAGGGGTGTGCAGGCACCACCTTCATCCTGCAAACAGGAAGGGACAGGGTGTCTCTGGCTGCTGTGTTGCTGGACATGGGGCTGAGCCTGTCTACTGGTATGACCCAGGCTGTTTCCACTCTTCTTCCCTTCCTTCTACATTTAGAAGGAGAAAAGCAAGCAAGGAAAGACCAGGGAAGCTAGTGCAAACCCCCCAAAAGTACCAAATTGCCAGCTTTTAGGTCATCTCTGATATCTCCAGCATATCTCTGTCCAGCCTGCGTGCTCTTTTGTGGTTAGTTTTTCATTTCCCTGTATTTCCTTTTGAATTTTTCCAGAAACTGAGGTTTGCATACCAACAACAAAGAAACCTAGACTCAAAGAAACAATCGAGCCAGACTTTCATATCCCTGTCAGCCATGGAGAAGACCAGATGTTCACAGATAAGCACCCAGCACATGCCCTTTCCAGCACCCCATCTGGAAACACCAGCCCCTGTGGTGCGTGCCGAGTTCTGCAAATGCTGATCTGAAAGGTTCCTTCAGGTCCTATAGCTTTCCTCTCCAGGGATGGCAACAGAAAACCCACGGTCAGAAATAACTTAATGCTTCTCCCTCCATCAGCCAGGTCTAACAGAGGACAAAGGAAATGTTCTTCTGTATTCTGTTGCAGAGCGTCTAAGCTATAAAACGGGGCCAAATGGCCTCCCCCTGAGCACAAATAACAACAGGAGAAAGATCCATATGCAATCGAGTGTAGGATAAATGTGCTTAGCTGATCATTCGTTTCCCTAATATTTTTTTTATGAATAGGCTTAACTTATGGTAAGATGGGACTTTATGGTCCTGTAAGTCTTGCTCGTGTCAAAACAAATGAACAAGGCATCCTATGGGGGAACTATCAATCCAATATATGTGTGTGTATGGGTGTGGGGAGTCAGACCTATTATACCTTTAAGAGCAAATTAGATGCTGTTCCTATGATTCATAATGCTATATATCTAATGGCATGACTCGTCATCTAGAAAATAAACGTTTCGAGCCAGTTTCTCATCTCATAAATTTCCCCTCTGGCACTGAAGGACATAAACTAAATGGGCTGACTCACAGGGAAACAATACAATTTGGATACTTTTAAATGAAAGATAAAATTGCCTTAGGGCGTGGAGGGGCGTTGAGTGGTTGGCAAGCCCAGGATGGGGTGGTGGGAGCCCCTCTGCCACCCCCAGCAGGCAGGGCTGCTCCTCTCTTCACACTTGCAGAGCCTGTTGGGTTTTCCCAGCTCAGCAGCTTGGCATGAGCATCATGGGAAAGCATCCGATGTGGAGATGGCCCTGTTGGAGATGGAGATGGCCATGTTGGAGATGGTTGTGTTGGAGGTGGTTGTGTTGGAGGTGGCTGTGTTGGAGGTGGTTGTGTTGGAGGTGGTTGTGTTGGAGATGGCTGTGTTGGAGGTGGTTGTGTTGGAGATGGCCATGTTGGAGGTGG